GATTTCTCCCTCAAACTCGGGTGCAGTGTCTGGGCAAATCCTTCATGTGCCAGTTTTCTCCAGCAGGAAGGAGGGAGGCTTGGGGAGCTGGTGGGGACGACGTGCAGCTGTGTTAGCCTCGCTGGGCTCCGAACTCTCCTACATCTTGTCACTCAGCTGTGTCCAACTCTTTGCAACCTCACGAACTGTAGCCCGCCAGGCTCCTGTGACCATGGGATTCTCCAGGCAGGAATACTGGAGTGAGTTGCCATTCCCCATTCCTCCAGGGGGTCTTCTAGACCCAAGGGTCAAACGTGGGTCTCCTGCACTGCAGGCAGATTCTTTATCACCTGAGCCACCAGGGAAGCCCTCCTTCAAGCCTTGTTAGAGGCTTTATAGCGCACTCACCTACCCACTTAGGGAGGTTATTCTCCGACTGTGGCTTCTTTCCTCATTTTTGCGCATAGCGTAGGGCGCGTCTGCAGCAGTTAGCTCCCTGTTCGCTTTCTGAGTATCCCCGGCAGCAGTTCCCTCACTCCCAGGCCGGAAGCAAGGGGAAAGGGGATTTCTTCAGGGCCTCCGACTCCACAGACGCGGGTGGTGGGGAGAGTCACTGGCTCTGAGGACTCTGGGCCGCGTTGGGACGGAGCCCCGGTGGGTGACCCCCCGTCAGGCAGGTGACCCCCCTTCCCATCTCCTCCAGCTGTGTTTGTGTTCATTTCTCTCTCTCTTGTGGTGTCTGGGGAAAGGACAAGTCTGTGAGATTTCGGTATGCCCTTTCGCCCAGGGCTCCTTTATGATACATCCGTGTGTGTGTGTTAAGGGCCCCCCCCCAACATGCCGTGGTTCTGAGGGGACTGAGGGCAGAACGTCCATAACCGTCACTGTGGGATGTGGAATTTGGGCCACAGAACAGGCATTCGTGCACTTCCGGGGGGAGCCTCTCTGCTGGCACTCATGGCAGGAAGAGGGGCCTTTGCGGTTGTTTGGAAGAGCGGTCCGTTTTGTGAGCACTAGTGGGACTTCCAGAAGGTTGTCTTTCTCGAGAGCAGAGCCTCTGGCAGTATCCCCTTCTGGCTGCCTCCAGCACGGCTTCGGGACCCCTTCCTGCCGCTAAGAAGCTGTGCCTAGGGGGCCTGTGGTGTGGGAGATCTGCGGAAGCACAAAATTAACCAGAGAGCAAGAGTCGAGGAAATAACAGCACATGAGAAGAAAAACACGAGACGAAAGTATGAGGAGAAAGAGGAGACTGCCTCTATGCCCCTGCGGAAAGAGAGCCCCGTGAAAGGAGGTGATTCACCCACTCCAAGGGACAACCACGCAGCACACCTGGGTGCGTCCATAGTTTTCTTTTGAACCAAGGAAGTTCACATTCAGACCAGTGGGAGATTTGCCCTGCCGTTGCTTCTCAGAGGCTCACTGATTGGCTTGTAAATAAAAAAAAACCGAGTTACTATAATTTTATGTTTAATTGGAGTTTTACTTTTCCTTCAAGATCTTCAGAGAAACTTTTCAATTCTAAGTGTTTTATTTATTTATTGGTAGATAAGAAGTGGCTTTGTTTAGAGAGAAACACGCCCCACAGAGTGTGGGCCATCTCACAAGGAGAGAGCGGCTGAGTTTTATTTTTTTAAAAATATTATTCTCATTTGAAACTCGTGATTTGCCATTGATTTTCTGACTAGGATGACAAATATTCATAATTTCACAGTTGCCATTGCCTATTTTAATTTGGCCTTGCCAAGATCCTCTAAATTATGGCGGTTTTTATGTGTAGAGAAAAAAATCTAGATACTAAAAATAAAAAGATTGATAAACTGACTGCTTAAAAGATTTAGACAAGGGACTTCCCTGGTGGTCCAGTGGTTCAGAATCTGCCTTGCAATGCAGGGGATGCAGGTTCGATTCCTGGTTGGGGAACTAAGATCCCACATGCTGCAGAGTTACTAAGCCCTGGTGCTGGAACTACTGAGCCCTTGAGCCACAACTAAGATCCAAATAAATAAATATTTCAAAAAAGATTTAGACAGTAAAAAGTCTAATAAACAGTTGGAGAAAATATTTTTATTGATGGCATTTGGTTATATCTACCCATTAAAATCTAAATTAAAAAATCATACATACTTTGACTCAAAAATCTTCCTTAACAGTGCTACCTCAAAATTATACTTACAAAAGTCAGCCAAATGTACAGAAAGCTCCCGATAGCACTGGTGCCAAACAGAAAACTGCAAATTCTATAACTGGGTGATTGGTTAAAGAAATTAAAATTGACCATATCTTATGTCGTCTTTAAAAACAATGGAGTTGATCTACAAGTACTGATCCAAAAAAATTGTTCCTAAAAATACTCGTTACTTTTATTTATGTTTATAAAAAATGAGCTAAGAAAACTGTATAAATCTTTTGGGAGAATGGTTGTATTCTTTCTGTACTTTTTGAATACCCTAACCATGCATCTATTTGTGAATTTATAATATCAAAAGGGTGGGACTTCCCTCGTGGTCCAGTGGCTAAGATTCTGTGCTCCCAACGCAAGGGGCCCAGGTTCCATCCCTGGTCAGGGAACTAGACCCCATAAGTCACAGCTAACAGTTCACATGCCACAGTGAAGACCAAGGATGCTACGTGCACAAGTAAGACCTGGTGCAACCAGATAAATAAATGTTGAAATAAAAGGGTCTATATGAGTCTTGACTCTATGAGCCATTTTCAGTTTTCTTTATGTTTGCTTGTCTTAACAAAAGGGCTCTCTTATATTATTAGGGGCTTCCCTGGTGGCTCAGCTGGTAAAAATTTTATTATTTTATTTTTAACATTTTATAATTTAAGTATTATTTAAATTATAATATAAAAAAGTTAATAACAAAATAATTATTTTAAGTATTATAATAAATGTCATTATGTTATTTAAAATGTTATTATTAACATTTTGTTATTTATTAATAATAAAGATTTTATTACTAACATTTTTTTCAACCTCCTCAACTAATTATGTATTTATTCTTCCTAATGAGGTCAAGTTATTGTTTAATCTGAGGTATATTTTCAATCTTGACATTTATATTTAGCCAGAATTAATTACAGACATCCCACCACCCCTGTACTTCAAGAAATGACTCATTTGTTACAGAGAATGAACAGGTGACTTAAGTTCTTCTGCAGTGTTTGACCTTTGGTATTTAAATCAATTAATTTGGTTTAATTACTATCCTTTAAGCCAGAGGGATCAAAGTTATGGCCAAACTAGATAGCATATTAAAAAGCAGAGATATTATTTTGCCAACAAAGGTCCATCTAGTCAAGGCTATGGTTTTTCCAGTAGTCGTGTATGGATGTGAGAGTTGAATTATAAAGAAAGCTGAGCACCAAAGAATTGATGCTTTTGAACTGTGGTGTTGGAGAAGACTCTTGAGAGTCCTTTGGACTGCAAGGAGATCCAACCAGTCCATCCTAAAGGAGATCAGTCCTGAATATTCATTGGATGGATTGATACTGAAGCTGAAAATCCAATCCTTTGGCCACCTGATGCGAAGAGCTGACTCATTTGAAAAGACCCTGATGCTGGAAAAGATTGAATGTGGGAGGAGAAGGGGATGACAGAGGATGAGCTGGTTGGATGGCATCACTGACTCAATGGACATGAGTTTGAGTAAACTCTGGGAGTTGGTGATGGACAGGGAGGCCTGGCGTGCTGCAGTCCATGTGATCGCAAGGAGTCGGACACAATTGAGTGACTGAACTGAAATGAGCCAGAGGGTGCCCTCCCTTGAACATTTCTTTATTATCAGGGTGGGTGGTGTTGGTTTTCAGCACTTTCTCAGAGAACTTTCCATAAGGATACAGTTTCTGGCATGAGAAATACTTCCTCATGACTCATTTTCAAGAGGGTGCTTTCTTTTCTTCTTTAATTACACCAGGGATGGAAACGTTCTGTCCCACCTGAGTTTTGTCTTTATGGTTTCAGACCACATGTGCTCACCTGGTCACACAGGTCTGTTTGCTGGGAAACAGGTCTGTTTGCTGTTTGCTGACCTCCTGGGGAAAGGCTAGGACCATGTAGGGCCTTGGTAGCTCAAAGACTAATGCAGTAAAGTGACAGGAAGTTCACTTTAGTTCATCATGATTTTGGAGTCTGAAAGAACAAGACATACTTTTTCATGTTGACAGCATCCTTAACTTCCTAACCTGCAGATTCTGAGGTTTTTGTCTGTGCCATTATTGAATGCCTTGCTTGGTCTGTGTCTGGCTATAAGCTTTTGTTTTTATCAACCGAGTGGAAGCCAACAGAGCATTATGCACCAGAAACCACGTGCAGACTGTTGGCAATAAACATAATCTTGTGATAATTGAGGGTTTTCTATTAATTTTTCATTAGGCTATTCCTTGGGTGTTTCCTTCTTAATTAATTAAATTCCGCCTATCAATGTCAGTGCCTTTTCTTTTGATTTTGAAAATTCAGGATTATACAAATTACTGTGATCTGTATGAATGGCTCTTTTGCAATCTGTGTCAAGAGATTTGACTCCAATAATCTGACTTTTCAGAGTTTGTTCCAATCTCAAGAGAGTAATTTTAAAGAAAATTACCTTTACAAAAAAATTTATTGACAAAAGATGTAAATTATGATACATTCATTTGTAAGAATGTTACATAACCAGTAAGATGATAGTTAAAAACAGTGTGTGGCAACACTTGAAAATATTCATACAATGAAACCAAGTGTCTGCCACCACCAACTCTGGAAAAATATCTACTTGGATGGAAAAGTCAGACATGTTAAAGAAATGAGAAAAATAAAAATAGTGAATTTGTTGGGGTGTGAGAAATATGGATGAAATTGTTTGTTTAATTTCTTTAGTGTCATAAGCTCTTCAGTAATAAAAATGTGGAGAACAAGGGGAAGAGCAGAAGCCAGGTCTGGTAGGAGAAGCACAAGGAGCTGAGAGTTGTGGATCTGGATGCAGTGGACACACTTCTGTGGGGCCCATCTCAAATGATTATTAGGGACACACGGAGGGATGACAGTGACTTCCTTTAAAGGACGCATGGTCTGGCCCATGAACCCTCCTTCAACAGGTGGAGATCTCATAATGCTTTGTGATTCGTTTAGACACTAATTTTTCGGACAACTTTCCAGGTACTCTCCCTGGCGGAATTCTTCTGGCCTTGTATCCTGTTCATGATTCTGACAGTGCTTCGTTTTCAAGAACCTCCCAGACACAGAGACAATTGTGAGTTTCATTTTTATTATACTTTTTGATCACCAACATCTAGAGAAGAAAATGCAGCATCCTTTTTTTGCTGTTGTTCTTTATAACTTCTGAATCCTGAGTGAAATGAATGGATAGGGTTCTCTTGTTTATACCTCTATTTCTGGGATATATGCCAGTAGGCATCTATTTAGATTTTTTCTCTTAAGAATGATATTCACATTTGCCCAATCTAACAGATAGATTTAGTCCTTAAATTGAGCTGTCTCAATTCAGGATATAGGTATATGTCATTATAAACATAGAAAGAGTAGGGGAAGAGGTAAATGTGGGGGAGATGCATTTCATTTTACTAACGTGATGGTGGTGATGGTGATGGGATGATGATGGTGGTGGGGATGATGGTGATGGTAATGATGAAGATGATGGTGATGAAGATGATAATGGTGGTGGTGATGATGATATTGGTGGTGATGATGGTGATGACAATGATGGTGGTGAAGCATTTAGAAATCATTATTAATAACTTCCTCTGCTCCAGGTGTTTTATCAGAAAGACCATTTAGTTTATCTGGTTTAAACCTCAACAGCATCACTCCTTGAGAAATGATTGCCTGTTTTTTTTCTGTCATGCTTATGCTCACTTGAAATATGGATAATGTGGTTAATTCCAAAAATGTTATATGATTAGAAATTATTAAGGGGTGACTTTTATCTAAAATAATATGTCACTATTCACAATAGTAAATTAATGTATTTATTCATCTGGCAAATAATGTTTTGAGTGCCCTTGTGTCCAAGCTTTGCTGAGGATGAAGTGGACGCAGTATTTTCCCTGTCCTTCCAGCACTTACTATAGGGCCAGACTATGATAATGCAGTGGGGTAGTGTCATGTTGGGACTCCATGCAGGGCACCAGGAGCGCAGAGAAGTGGCCACTCCATTCTGAAGAAGGGGTTCTGAGGAGTTAGCAGATGTGAGAATCTTTGTCAGATGAAAGGGTTCAGGGGAGGACAGCTCTGGGCAGAGCAGATAGCATGGGGAAGACTGGAATAAAAGAAGCTTATATGAGTGAGAAGCAGACATGTGGCTGGAGGAACAAACAGGTTCAGATCCATAAATGCTTTCAAGGATGTGGAAGATGGTGACTTCCCAAAGGGTGCTGAGGGGTGGGCTTCCCAGGAGACACTAGTGGTAAGGGACCTGCCTGCAATGCAGGGGCCTAAGAGATGCAGGTTCAATCCCTGGGTCGGGAAGGTCCCCTGTGGAAGAGCATGGCAGCCCACTCCAGTGTTCTTGCCTGGAGAAGGCCACGCACAGAGGAGCCTGGTGGGCTGCAGTCCATGGGTTGTGAAGAGTCAGACACGAGACACGACAGTGTGCATGCACACGCACGTCTAAGCGTGGCACCGCTGAGTCATACGGTAATTCTATTTTTAGTTTTCTGAGGAGCCTCCACTCTGCTCTCCATGGTGGCTGCACCGACTTACACTCCCACTGACCGAGTCAGAGGGTTCTCCTTTCTCCAGAAAGTGGTTTATTGTACCATTTGTCCTCAAAGACCTTGGATCCTATCCAGTTTTTCTAAACATCTTCGCATTAAATGACCTTTAGTAACCACACTTAAGTCGGCTTTTACATGAGACGAAAGGAGGTGTTTGCTTCGATTCTCCTAACCGACAGCCTATTCACAGTGTCTGGAAGTGAGGTTGATGACAGAAGTATTGACACCCACTGAGCAGGAGGAGGACTCTCACGCAGTTGTGCGTATGGCCAGGCAGAGCTGTCCTGCCTTGCCGCCTGTGGGCAGGCCCTGGAGGAAAGGTGTTAATGTGAAAGTTTTCTGTCCTTTCTTTTTTCTGTTGGGCTGCTGAGGTATTTTTTAAACTAACAACAGGACTAATAATGTAATAACGTGATATTACATATTACTGAACTCACTAGGTATTCCATTTCTGGGACCAGCTGTATGGACTCATTTCTGCCTTGTGTCCACATCCAGGCTATTTGCAACCCCGGGATCTGCCCAGCCGGGGCGTTTTCCCCTTTGTCCAGGGCCTTCTTTGCAACACCGGGTCGAGGTGCAGGAACACAAGCTATGAAGGGGCTATGGAACAGCATTTTCGGTAAGAGAAACACAGACATCCTTTTCATGGGAAGCTCCTGTATAGAACTGACATGAGGCTTTTAGCTCAGCCTCAATAATTTGGGATGGGCCAGCCATCATAAGAAACACAGAATTTATTTATTTACTTATTTTTTTAATTTTTTTCCTCATTTTATTTTATTTTTTTTCTTCCCAATTATTTTTATTAGTTAGAGGCTAATTACTTTACAATATTGTAGTGGTTTTTGCCATACATTGACATGAATCAGCCATGGATTTACATGTGTTCCCCATCCTGAACCCCCCTCCCACCTCCCTCCCCATTCCCATCCCTCTGGGTCATCCCAGTGCACCAGCCCCGAACACTTGTCTCATGCATCCAACCTGGACTGGTGATCTGTTTCACACTTGATAATATACATGTTTTGATGCTGTTCTCTCGAAACATCCCACCCTCGCCTTCTCCCATAGAGTCCATAAGTCTGTTCTATACATCTGTGTCTCTTTTTCTGTCTTGCATTTAGGGTTATCATTACCATCTTTCTAAATTCCATATATATGTGTTAGTATACCGTATTGGCGTTTTTCTTTCTGGCTTACATCACTCTGTATAATGGGCTCCAGTTTCATCCACCTCATTAGAACTGATTCAAATGAATTCTTTTTAATGGCCGAGTAATATTCCATCATGTATATGTACCACAGCTTTCTTATCCATTCGTCTGCTGGGCATCTAGGTTGCTTCCATGTCCTGGCTATTATAAACAGTGCTGCGATGAACATTGGGGTACACGCGTCTCTTTCAGATCTGGAGAAACACAGAATTTAGTCACCAGAGAATCAGCTTTATGATGTTCAGATTCACATGCAAACAACCTCCAGTAATGGTTTGTTTCCAGTAACAGGTCTTTCCATAGCTGTTCCAAGAGTCACAAAGTGATTGCTGATTAGCAGATGCCATTTGCTTGTCATAGTTTGTTTTCTGTAGGTTAAAACTCTGACCTCAAAATTACCCTCTTGGCCAACTATGCATTTTTGGCACCAAATGCTCGACAACAAGTATTTGCTGGAGTTTCCTACTGTGCTATTTTGGACCAGCGTCTATTTGCCGCTGAGATACACTTGGCCGTTCACCTGGACCAGGTGACAATAGCCATCGTGACTCTGGATGCTGAGCCAGGCCTGTGTTTGCCTGTGGCAGCAGTCTGGCACCAAAGACTAAAAAGAGAAGCGATGGGAGGTATTTTACGTGAGAAGAGTTAAAGCACAGAAGGTTTTTAAGTTAGAGCTCCCTGAAGGCTCTGGAAACTTCTCAGTGGACTTAGACATGAAAGGAAGCAGCTGAGTCATCAGATGATTTGAATTTTTCACATGTGAATAATCTGTCTTTGCTTCCTCCATCCTTCCTGCTGTTGACCCGTCTATGACATTGAAGTGTAAGGCCTGCTAACATAAGTGATCTTTAACTTTCAACTGTAAGTTACAAGTAGAGAATGCAAAGCTTCTAGGTAATTTTGGACACATCTGGTACGATATTTTTAAATAGTGGGTGCTTACATTTTTTTTGAGAGAGGTATTATAAACATATGATATTAAGAAAATAATTTGAGAGTAAAGTGTAAAGTCATAACCCTGAAATACATGGTGGCCTTTTTGTATGTGTGGGAAAGAAAGTGCCTTTCTGGGAAAATGAGAAGCGTTTGAGGCTGATCTGCGTTCCCATATCAGGTCTCTCTTTTATCTCTTCATCACTCAGAGTGGGAAATTTGTGTGTCCTTGAAGGGGGAAAAGTGGGGCTTTGCACCCAAACCGTATCTACCCCATCTCTTCTTCGTTGTGTGCTTCTGAGCAATTTACTTACCGTCTCTGCATTTGCTTCTCACTCCCCTCCTTCCATGTTGTGAGTGCTGAAGTGCTGGCGGGGTAGCCTTCCTGCGGTGGGAGTTGGCACTCACCCGTCCTTACGGCTCTGGCTCCAGCAATCACACCGACACTGGAGTCTCCACTCAGAGAATAGCTCTGCTCTTGTCCCCCAGACCACTCTGCACCCTCACTCCACTTGCTGACACCAGATGGTCACACAGCCTGTGGAGGCCTCTCCCCACATCCTGAAAACCACAGTCCATTTCAGAGCCTTGGACGCTGATGAGCAGGAAAGAAGTCCCTCCCGGAGCTGGGCTCTGTCCTCGGACCTGCCTCCTCCACTCAGGGGCGCTCACTGTTTTCATGGTGGTCCAGGACGAATTCAGTGGACTCCCCAAACCATAGTTAAAAATTCACTTCTGATCACTTTTTGAGGATTGTCTCAGATTATGAATATCTGAAAGCAAAAGTTTAAGTCTATTTAAAATCACGGTTAACCAGTTTGTTGATTTCTGTGCCCTTTGTGATCCCTGGGGAAAGTTCACTTTGGGCAGGAATCCCACATTTCATCTGCTGTAGGATCAGTTCAGTTTAGCTGTTAAGTCATGTCTGACTCTTTGTGATCCCATGGACTGCAGCATGCCAGGCTTCCTTGTCTTTCACCATCTCCAAGAGTTTGCTCAAATTCATGTTCATTGAGTCGATGATGCTATCCAGCCTTCTTATCCTCTGTTGCCCCCTTCTCCTCCTGCCCTCAGTCTTTCCCAGCATCAAGGTCTTTTCCGATGAGTCAGCATCAGGTGGCCAAAGTATTGGAGCTTCAGCTTCAGCACCAGTCCTTCTAATGAATATTCAGGGCTGATTTCCTTTAGGATTGACTAGTTTGATCTCTTTTCTGTCCAAGGGTCTTTTTAGAGTCTTCTCCAGTCCCACAGCTCAAAGGCCTCAATTCTTTGGTGCTCAGTCTTTTTTATGGTCCAACTCTCACATCCATACATGAATACTGGAAAAACCATAGCTTTGACTCTATGGACCTTTGTAGGCAAAGTAATGTCTCTGCCTTTTAATACACTCTATAGGTTTGCCATTGCTTTTCTTCCAAGGAGCAAGTGTCTTTTAATTTCATGATTGCAGTCACTGTCCACAGTGATTTTGGAGCCCAAGAAAATAGAATCTGTCACTGTTTCCATTTAAACATCACAGTTAGCCAGTTTGTGAATTTCTGTGACATTTGTAATTCCCTGGGGAAAGTTCACTTTGGGCAAAAATCCCAAATTTCATCTGATCTAGGTTATGATTACGAAAATCCACTTTCAGATTCCTGGTTTTATTATGGAGCCAATGCTCAGTGCTTAAAAGAGGATCTCAGAGCTGGAATCATGAACCATGACGCCACAGATTAAGTGGGTATTGCCATGCAGTATAAAGAATTGCTCCTCATTCTTTAAAGTCAAGCTGATAGCATAAAAACAATTGAAAATGCTTCATGACATGAACACAGTCTCTGAATCTGCCCCCTGCATCCTTTCACTATCAGGATCTGCAGGAGCTGCTCCCCAGGCCAGGATATCCTTCATTCTCTTCCTTGGCTGAGACATCTTTCAGTGCCAGCCCCTTGAAGGGTTTTCATCTAACTGTTCCTGACAATCCCCTGTGCTTCTCACTTACTTATCTTCAATATTTTAATTTTTCTTCTTCCTTGAACACACCCAGATCCCCGAGAGCCATCTCGCTGTCTCCACCTCCCTTCCAGGACGGCCTCCTGCTGTGCACCTCACTTGCTCCCTGGCTGCTGCCGCCTGCCTCTTGGCTTCTGCTCCGTTGGCTTTTCCCTCTTTGGATGCCCTTTAGAGTGCCTTCCAAGCTCTTGCGTCTCTAGTGTATAGTTTTCCTGATCACAGGGTCCAGCCCCTTTGCCATGAGTTGAATCATCTTTTTCCAGCCAAAGCAGCTAAGAATTTGATCCTAGTCTCATCAGCGACTCCTCTGACGGGGTAAGACTCAAGTCCAAGGCAGGATTAAGGTGGCCCTTTCCCATATCCTGTCCTACTCCTGGGAGCCTCCTTTCCTTCACTCTGTCCCCGCCCCCCAGCCTCTGGAGGCAGGCTGCTCCCCGTGGTCCAGGTTCCTCCTGGGATGGAGCCTTGTGGCCTCCGAGTGAGCGGCGTGGATTCTCTGGCTACACCTGTTACACCAGAGCAGGGAGCCTGCGGGTTCCTGGTCCAGGCTCTTGCCCATCTCCCTCCCCTCCTGGTCTTGGAGAAGAGGGGTCACCGTTAGGGTGATCACAGACGGGGAGCTGTCAGCACCTCTCCACGGTGACACAGATGCGTCCATAGAGCGAAGGCGCTTCCTTTCCTGCCCAGTTGGGGGGTCTGCCCGCTGTGCGATGAACCTCCTCTCTCTCTCAGGCTTTCCCAGCCCTAATTCCAGCTTAGTCCTTGTCCTTACGCCCTTCCTCTTTCTCTGCAGTGTTCTCTCCAACAAGCCACAAGGAAAGACAGTTTTGCGGGCTCCTGGGTTTGTTTTCAGGCCCTGAATTTCCTGTGTTTCAGTGAAGCACTGGCTCAGCATGTGTGAGGGATGTTCCCCTGGGCACGGAGCCCCCGTCTCTGACCTGCAGTCACCCAGAGGTCCTGGTCTATCCTCCGGTTGGGCTGTGTGTGGGCAGGGTCTCCTCCCAGGAGCCCCCTCCAGGCCCAGTTGAGCTTCCTCTCTGTGGCATTCAAGAACTGGGGGACTCAGGTGTGTTCTGCTATTTTTTATTTGTAAGTTTCTCTCTCCATAAAACTTGGTTTATATTTAGAACATGTTTATTGCTTTAGTCAATAAACATAACTTCCTTGGAGAAGAAAATGGCAACCCACTTCAGTATTCTTGCCTGGGAAATCCCATGGACAGAGGAGTCTGGTGGGCTACAGTCCACCGGGTTGCAAGAGTCGGACACGATTTAGCAACTAAACCACCATAAAGAAAACTTCCTACATTATCTTCATTATCTTCCAAAAGTGTGGTTTTCCTTTCACGTGTAAATCTCTCATCCATCTGGGCTTTATGTCTTTGAATGGTGTCATAGTGATCCACTTTAGATTTTTTCCATTTGATGAGTGATTGCTGTAGTTTCACTCTTTAAGGAAATTGCCCACCTTGTCCGAT